GTGACCCACAGCAGAGCTAGTGAAGGCATCCGCAGGGACAGCAGCATCTTTATCAACATTTACACATCTCTTTCCACTAGCAAGGGAGTAAGTCCTGAAAAAATACTTAAGACAGGAAAAGCAGATCCAGTTCTTCTTTATAACCCTTTTAATCCCATAGTGGGAGTAACATTTCATTTTGCAAAGAGCCTTCCAAAATGCAAAACCGAAATAGTTTCATGCATCTAGAGCAGAGAGGGAAATCTTTCACCTTTTCCTTCTCTTATTCACCTTAGTTTGGCATCTCCAGCCTGACAGTAATTTGTTGTACACCTGAATCACCAGGGAAGGACTGACCTTTGTTGCCCCCACTGACAAAATAATTCTCTATCCCAAACCCCAGACTTTTACCACTCACTGACATGTATACTAAAACAAGCAAGAGTTCAGGTAAGTAACTGTTTTCTCAATAGAAAATCAGATTCAATAGCGAGAAATCTCTAAGGCATTAAAATGGTAGCGCACAATGCTGGCATCTCTTACTGCAACTTTAGCTTCGAAGTCTGAAGATTTACGACTATTCACTGGAAATCATCAGTAAGAGACGTCACCTCGCGTTGCAATGGCTCATGGTCTTGATGCTGGAGCAACTAGAAAGCGCGTGGGAAGGACTGCGTTCAGAGAGCTCTCCGACACCACCGACTGGGGCGGAGAAGGGGGAAGGCAGTTGGTGAGAAGATGTTCTGGGGTGGCCTGGCGCTTCGTTTCAGGTGGAAGGTGAGGGTGCTTCTACAGCTCCCCAATCTGGCAATTCTGCATCAGCAGCGATGGCAGCCTCCAGGGACATCTTGTCACCCTTGGAGGATGAAATGTGATGAGGATGGTGGTTTAGGCGGGTCAGGCCTGGGTTGAAGAGGTGAGTAGTGGCAGGGGTGTCTGCATGCTGACTCACATGTACTAGTTCACCTGGATTGGAGAGCCGTTGTGGCTTCAGTCTGCAGGCCAGTCCCACTTGCATAATCTAAATCAGTTTGCAAACGGATAGTTTAATGAAGTATATTTACGGTTTCTCCCAGGGACTGATCTAGATAAGTAGACTTCTAAACAAGACCTACTGTCTAAGGTCTGTACCTAATTTATATCCTAAAACAGTCCCAGGCCCTCCCCCATTCATTTATTTTACCTGGTCAAGAGTTCATTCGAGTGTTTAGCATCTTGAAACATTAAGAGCTCCTTCTGCAATAGATCCAGACTGAACCAGGACCACGTACCAGAGCCCTCCAGTAGATCTGTTCAGTTCAGTCTGTCTGCGCTTTGCCCAGGCATGAGAAACATGAACACACAAAAGCCTGACAGACACACACGGACACAGAAAGGCATACCTTGTAGGCAATGCTATTGAGAACTTTCATAGCCAAGTCGGAGACATCAGGATAGGGGTCGGCAGCTAGGTGAAGGAGCACTCTCCAAATTTGAGTATAAACACTGTTGAAACTCACACCTAAAATAACAACAACAAAACAAAAACAAAAAAAGAAAGCCCCACAGCACATGACAATCCATCAACTCAAACTCTTTGATCTTATGTGAGAAAATTCATTAGAACTGCAAACATCACAATGACATCTAAGAAAACATCAAGAGCAGAGCTCAAAAAGGCCCTACGTGTGCATTTTGTCTCCATTTTGTCTTTCTCTGGGAACTCTGCGAGGGCTTGTAAAATGAAACTGGGAGAAAGCAAAATAAAGACTACCTAAATAAGCTTCAGTCAAACTCCTATTTTTCTAGGCTCCTGAAGCAAATAACCTGATAAGGCCAAATGGATAACGTCTTTGGATTTCCTGAGCTAAAATACTAAACGGTATAAAACCACAGTTACTGACTTCTATATTTACAGTTATTTTTATTGCTGTTTTAAAAATTAATACTCAGCTTGAATGTTCAGTGTTTTATATATTCTACAAGTTTACCAAACATCTAAATCTTAAAAATGAAGCTTTAGGACTTGTACCTTTGAGAAGCAGTAAGTCTAACTAGGTCATTCCTATTGACATCTGTACCAATTCCTCAATTGCCAATTTGTTATTTAATGAGAATATCGGCTGTTTGGTATTTCAGCAGAAGGGACTGACAGATTCAAAGTACAAATCAAACTAATATGCATTTGTAACAACTGACAAAATTCTATGAACATTTTATTTTGCGGCTTTTAGGTGAATATTTAATTTGTTATTCTTTCTTCTAACCCTCACAACGTCTAATAATCGTAACACCGTCGTTTGGGAGTTGAACCATTTGGACAATATTAAAGTGGTTGCACTAACAAAAAAAGGAACTAAAATAGGGATTTCAGATGAGTCACAATCAATGGTAAATGACAGATCAAGCTGTTACTGCATTTCCTTTCATGTTTCTGGAGGCATCTAAATATAAAGTGTTAAGTTAGGAAGAAAGGGTTCCTTGATCAACAAGCAGCTTCTCACCTTGCATAGCTACTAAACCTGATACTCGAACCAAAAGAAAATATACTTGGGCAGTCCAGTTGTGAACTTTGGCTGAAGGAGGCAAGTAGCGTGTGGTAAAAAGCTTCAGGAGCATGCAGGCTGCACTCCCCGTGCTTGTCTGCGTTAGCCAAGGGAACCTTCCTTCTGCCGGAAAAATTCCCCAGCACGTGCCAAAGCATTCTGCAAAATGTAAAGGCGATAACCTAACTCCATCCTCTCATCTGACCAGCAAAGAAAAGGGTCTCTTACTCAGCGACGTCCAAAGGATTTTCCAAGTGGCGTCTACGCAGAGTTCCACGCAGAAGTCTCGCAAATAGTTCTGACAGCACCGCCTGGGACGCTGCTGCCCATTTGCTGGGGGCTACCTATACAACAGACTTCTATAGCTAATCCTAACCTTCCCGAGACAGGTAAGATACAACCGTGTTAAATCCACCCAGGAAAAATTTAGAAGCTGATAATCTGAGAAAGCAGTAACAACTGTCAAGATACAGTAGGGTCAAAGAGTGCTGATCTGTCATACTTGGTTTATGCCAGCTGAGGACAGAGCCCAAAGTGTACGAAATCCAGGAATGCGTGAATATGGTGTGCACGAGTTGAGCAGAACTGAACGGTGCGGATCTAAGCTCAGGTTTTGGCTTTGGCCATAACAGGCAAAAGTCACTGTCTTTTTCAGAAACTCTTTATCCATGTTTAAATAAAGAAAACATCGATACACCATAAAGAAAGTCTCCGCTCGGAAGAGGGTTAAACCTCCCAACCATGAAGGATGGTGATACAACGCTTGTCTGTCTTCTCCAGGCTTCTAACCATTTAGGTTTTATTTTTGCAATTGCCATGTTCACCCTGGAAGCTTCTACTATCAGGAAAAGAAAAGGAGGAGGGGGAAGGAGAAAGAGCAAAAGAGGGAGAGAGACAATGTGCTGCAAGCTGCGAGAGGGAAAAAAGCCCCAGCCGCTGGAGCAGCTAGCCAGGCAACGTCGGCCGAGGTCTGCTCAGAGCTCTACCTCCTACGTTTGCTCCTGTGTTAGAAGTTACGTATGGACCGATGGGAAATCCGAACAGCTCGATTGCTTTTAAAGCCCTTGAAAGACAGTAAAAGGAAAGGGAGAGAAAGGGAGAGCGAGAGGGTACCCATCAGATTTTCTAGCGTCTCTGATAACCGCCTCACTCATGACACGGTCACAAAGAAAAACCAACAACTTTTTTTATACATCTAAGTGTCATGACAAAAACAAATTTAAAACACAACTGCGCCAGCGCAATTCCTCATTCACTCGTCAGCCTTTGAAAAGAACAGAGGGAATTTCTACAAAGGCACCTCCGGCTCAGAGCTGGCGCCCGAAGGCCTGATCCTTTCTTCTGCCGTCTCCCCCCGCCCACGGTGGTGGTGGTGGTCGTGGCACTGACTCAGCCGAGCGACACGTCTGACAGAGCTCCTGTAAACCCTGAGCACCGAGGCCGCGGGGTAACGAACGGCAGCAGAGCGGGCAGGAGCAAGAGCAGCTTCATTTCATGTAATGGACTAAAACGCAAAAAATATCCATGAGATGCAAACAGAGAGCCAAGCAAGGGGGACGGGGTGCTAATCTAAGCAGACAGCTCTGTAATTAGTCAGACTGGTTCAAAGCCAGTTAAACGGACCTTGCAGTATAGATTTACATTTACAAAATGATTCCTCTCCACCAAGAATGTCAAAAATAAATTGCCTGCCTTTACTGACGGCTTTGATTTCCTTTGCACAGGCACAGCTCTTGGCTCAGTCTAGCAGCAAGCGTCGTGCCGCGGCGCTGAGGAGGGGACCTGGCTGAGGCCCCGCAGCCGGGCCGCTGAGCGCACGAAGGGTGGAACCACCTCGGGTGCAAAAATGAATGCTGATGTGTTTATTTACTCTTTCTGTTTTGCCAGGCTTTGACAGGGTTTCTTTCTAATCCCCTGTGAAAATCACTGCAGTGATTTCAAGCCTCCATCTCCCGAAGAAGGTGCGGCCACTCCCCACCCAACACAGCAGCAAAAGCTGACCAAGAGCCGGGCCGGCGCGTCCCGCGGGCAGGGGCGGGCACGGGTCGCGCTGGCACGCAACGTATCGTACAGCTGAAGTCCTTCAGACTGAACGGTGCGGATACCCTAACCCCACCTGCCTCGTAAACGCGCACGCCACAAGCCTCTCCTCTTCCCGAGTGACAGGGAGGCCCTGTGCGAGCTACGCGGAAGACGAGAACATCTGAAATCCTGACGGCTCTCCGAACTCTGCTTTGACAGACGCGGACGGCAGCCTGTTCCCCGGGGGAACGGCACAAAAAAAAAGACCTGACAGTCTGCAAGCTGGTCCCTGCACGGCGCCACGCGAAGGGGCTGCTGCACGCTCCAGCCCTGACAGCGATGCAAGCGGCAGCAACCAGAAGCAGCTCGCTAGGAAAAAGCATGTTCCCTCAGAGCAAATACTTCCTCTGGACCAGGGCTCATAGCCAACACGAAAGCAGCCCGCCACAACCAGCCTGTGCCACGTCTTCTCTTTTCCATGGAGAATGTGAGCGAGGCCAGGACAAATAACGGCACACCAGGGGAAAAATAAAACCTAGAACACCAGCCACGTTCCTCTGTTCCCAGCTATGGCACACTGACGCTTCTCTCCCCATCCTGGTTTCCCCATTGCCCCAACACCACCACACAAACTGGCTTGTGGCTTTTTTTT